TGATTGGTAGTAAATTAAATTAATTTTCCCCCAAGTCGATTCTGTTTTGCCCATGTCAGTAATCATTGAGTGATCTCTCCCTGTCCTTATCTCGACCCAGGAGTCTTTCGTTCTATTTTCTCTCCCACGTGCAGCTGAGGAGGGCAGTGATTGAGCAGTTTTGGGGGCACCTGGACCTCCAGACAGGGTCAACCCACCACAGTTTTTAATGATACAGTACAGCCTCTTGTGCGCTTGAAGTCTAAAGGGTATGTGAGCAAGTAATCAAATTTTATTCATGTTCAGACATACTATTTTTGAGTGTCATATTGATCTCACCTCTATAATTTCCAGCATTTCCACTCTTGTAATTTTACCATCACCATCCAGGTCATACATGTTGAAGGCCCAGTTCAGCTTTTGCTCAAAACTGCCTCGTGAGGTGATGGACAGCGCACAAATGAACTCTCTGAAGTCGATGGTCCCATCTCCGTTTTTATCAAAGGTTCGGAAGGCGTGCTGGGCAAACTTTGAAGCATCTCCATATGGAAAGAACTGCAAAATAAAATAATAAACAGAACCATGGGCAACGCAAAGGAGCAAGCTACGTATCTGCCTGCAAAACACTGAAGCGAGGCACTTACCAAGAGTGGGCTTTGTGTGAAACTGCACACAAGCAATGTAAGCTTCCGTAACAGTTACAGCATAATGATTATTAAAAACTTATTTCTACAACAATCTCTTAGATTACTGCAAACTATATTACAAATACATTTAATGCTAATTTAAAGCTAAATTAACTAAATGAACCTTAAAATGAAGTTGGGTGCAAATGGGAGATTGTATGTAATATTCTCTGACTATGAAATACAGCAACCAAGGTGCATTTTAACAGTATTTTTTCTGCCTGAGAGTAACCAGCCCTTGACATGTTGTAACCAAGTGGATGTGTGGGCTTGTTGTTATATAACTTTATTTGTTTAAAAAAAAAAAAAACCCACACATAGCATAAACCAACAGGAACATATGTCGTCTTCTGCCAACCAACATAATACAAGTACGTAAGATGAGAACTGAGATTCAGTTAAACTATACAGAGCAATGCTTTTCATGTTTAATATCTGTTATCAGTAAACACTGCAACGGACTGTAGCTTAACAAAATAGTTTAAAGGACCATAATGTAGGTTTTCAGCTGGTATTTTTTCCCTTGGGAAATGTGTGATTTAAGATGTGTGAGACAGTAGTTGTTCTTTCTGTGGCCCAGACTCAGGAAAGCATACCTCTTAAGAAAGGGAGTTCCAAACCGGTGCTGAAGTCCCACTGCAGTGCAGGGACTGTACACAAATAAGGTTCGTTCCTATATTCCCAGCACAATTTCAGGGAGGTTTTCACGTTCCTAAAATAGAAACGTGCATTCCTCCCAATCTGAGAGCCATCTCATTTTGTGCTTTTTAAAATTCTAATTCTTAGTAAGTATTGCACGTAATAACGTACGTTTGAAGGAAAGACTTCAGTGGCAGCCGAGGAACTGGATCTGCATTTTACAGTTTTCCATTTCCCCATCCAGAGCTTTCAGTGCAGGCTGACGGTTGCTGTGGTCAGCTGTGGAAGCTCTTGAACAATATACTCAAATTTCATGGAGGATCTTAGGGATCTCACAGCACATACAGAAATGGGCACTGCTAATTGTCTGACTAAAGACAGATGTAGAACATGGCAAGCCTTTGCTGCTTTTCCTTTGAGGAGGCCAAGGGACCATTTGTACAATGTGTCTTGCCCTAAAAAATGCAAAACTTAGTGCACAGCCCGCTGCTTGCAACAAATTTGTGGCCATGCGGGTCACGGCAGGACCTGCTGCTGCATTGCCAAAGGGGTCCTAACCTGAACGTTTCCTTTAAACTTACTGTTTTCTCTCATATCAACTTTTTGGACACAATTCTGGATAAGCTTTGCACTGCTGTAAGGTATGACTGCTATACAATCTCTTCTCTGGCTCAGTGGTATTCTAATCAATGTAAAATCTTCCTTCAATTTTGCCACCCCCATCCATTCAGAATATCGCCCTGTCGTGAATTACCCCCCAAAGGCATGCAAATCGCTGTATGATCCCCGAGGAGATATCAAATGTGCCCATCTCGCTTCCCAAGTACCTTTTCAGAAAGATATTTGAACATGGTGTGGAGGCATCGAGAGAGAGGGACGCTGTACCCACTCCAGGGGTATTTTGGCCGGGTTAACATTGCTGTTAAAGTTGCTGTTTTCTCATTTGCCTTGGTATGGGTCAGCATCCAGCTGCTGCTTCTACGCCCCTTCTCCACTAGCTGGAAGAGGCGTTTGGTATTGTCTCCTCCTGAAAAAGTAACTTGTGTGCCCGTACTCAACCCAGCCCCCGTTTCTGTCTTAATAGCCCAAACTGATGGAGCTGTAAACACCTCAAGGTACTGTTGCGGCTCGTTTCTGTACTTTTTGGTTTTTGACCTTTAAAAACTGTTGGATGCTGTTGTGGTTTAACCCGGCCGGCAGCTAAACCAACCACACAGCCGTTTGCTCACTCCCCCGCACCCAGGGGGAGAGAGTTGGAAAGAAAAAATGGTAAAACTTGTGGGTTGAGATAAAGACAGTTTAATAGAACAGAAAAGGAAGATGATCATAATAGTAATAGCAATAATGGAACATACAAAACAAGTGATGCACAGCACAATTGCTCAGCACCTAAAGCCAATGCTCAGCTAGTTCCTGAGCCACGTCGCCTCCCAGCCAACCTCCCAGTTATATAAGGACCATGACGTCATACGGTATGGAATATCCCTTTGGCCAGTTGGGGTCAGCTGTCCTGACTGCATCCCCTCCCAGCTTCTTGGGCACCTCGTACCTTCTTGTTGGCAGGGCAGTATGAGAACCTGCAAAGTCCTTGACTGCTTGGCAACAACTAAAATATCGGTGTGTTATCAACATTATTCTGATCCTAAATCCAAAACACAGCACTGCACCAGCTGCTAGGAAGAAAATCAACTCCGTCCCTGCTGAAACCAGGACAGATGATGGTATGGCAAGTGTGATTTGGCTCGTAAACACCTATAAAGATATATGGATTCTCTGATACAATTCAGGACTGCAGTGACTGCAGCTATCAGACCTTGCTGAATTGCACTTCCAGTGCAAACCACAATCTTTTGTCAAATCAAACAGAGCTCCCTCCATGGGAAGGCTCTTTGGGCTCACAGTTCTAGGTTTGGCTGTCTCAGAACAAAGTTATGCGACTGTTATCCAAAACATGAACGTTATTTGCAGGTTATTAAAAACCCTTCTCATTGCTTACTCTTCTTCATGATCTACCTTTTCCCCAATTCTGTATCAACTGCAGATGTTAATGTAGGTGACATTTCATTGTACACATGTGTGTGTGTATAGGTAGATGTGCACTTTCTGCAGATCACTGGCAGGAAGTTACGAAGTGGCTTTTGTGCCCTATAGCTCTAGCGAGTCTCCACAGCCCCCCACCCTCTATGTCCTGGGACCTTGCTGGTTGTTCAAAGACGAAAAGACAATTAGAATAATCTCTTGTGTTTTAAATCTGTACTGATCACTGTCCTGTGATGTACAGGTTACAAAACAAAATACTTCAAAATTTTAGTCTTCCAAGAGCTGATTATTGCTGAAGATGCAGCCCGATCAGTATCTCTAACAGAAAGGCAAGCAGCAAGAGGGAAACGGGTTCGTCCTTTTCACTGTTCAGAGAACCAAAATACCTTCAGGTGCTATTCTCCTACAATCCAGACTGAGAAATGGTACAAATGTACTCACTGGTGGAACCAAAGAACTCAAAAATGCAATGAAGACGCTCACCTACAAAAATGGCTACGAAGTGGCAGACCCAAAATTACTCAAGAGTCCAGGAACAAAGTGGGGGATTAGGAAGGGTCAGTGGCTGAAGATGTCAAAGACTATTTCTAAATTATTTTTGGAGAAACGTGACATATCATTCAGTCTCCCGTCAGAGGAGCATGAGCAAGCTGTGACTACCTCCTGTGCCAGTCACCATTAAGCCCACAGAGCAGAGCGAAAAGCTTCCTTCTGATTTTTTCACCGCAGACAAGACAAAGAGTTTTCCTTTTCTGAGGTGAAGAAGGTGGTGGCACTGCTCAGAGCTAAGCCTTGGCATTTACAGCCTAGTAAGGTGAACAAATAGGATTGATGCCTTTTTTGTTTTTTTCGTGTCTCTATTTGCCTCCCTCTAGGGAGCGAATGCAGTAAACGGCCCTTTAGGGACTGAAGGCACTCTTCTCCAGTCTGTACCTGCTGATTTGTATTATTTTTAGCTCAGAACAACTAAAAAACATCGTCAAAACTTGTTTAAAAACCTACTTGAAGACTTCCATTGGCCTGTTTTGAAATGATTCATAAATAAGAAATGGAGTAAAAGAAAACCAAAACAATTACAGGGCAAAAGAAGCCAGCTCTGGTAAAACATTATTTGACTATTAAAATACAGTGAGGTCTTAGCAAGGTGTAAAGCCCTTTTCTTCCATAAAGGCACAGACTGTTAACTACTTTAAGACTAGTCTGAGCCAAGTACAATGGGAGACAGGGATCACCCTTTTTTGGCAAGGGGGATAGGAGGGTGGTTTAATCTGCCTCATACGGGACTCTGGCAGGAGCTCAGTGAATGCCTCAAAAACAAGTAAAGAAGCACAACTGGGATTTTCAGCAGCTACAGCCACTGGGCAAGTCAGTGGGTTCTTCGGCCTTCCCTGCAAACCCTTGTGCAGGTGTGAATCTACATATGAAAGCAACTGAAAGGGAACAGAGTTTCCTTCTGCTGCAAGGGTGCTACTGAAAAGTGCACTCCACATCAGCATTGTCTCCTGCTTCAGCCTTTTCGTACAAAAAACAAGGCAAACTATACCTGCCTGGGCTTTTTACAGCACTCAGCTCCATGGGTGACCCAACATTGGTGATTCCTTTCTTTCTGCTTCTCTAGTCTCATCTCTTGCTTGGCCTGTGCATTTTCTGACCGGTTAGATCAACATGCTGGTGTGTGAAGAAGGTGTTATCTCTACAGACAACTACCCATTAAGAAAGGAAAAAGGAAGAGAAAAACAAAATCCTTCCTATTCTGCTTCTAAATTTTGGAGAAGATTCTCTCACAGATTCTTAGCTCCCATAGGGTTTCTGGGCACCTTTGTGGTGCGTGTGGGACTTTCAAAGGATCCTGGAATAACAATATCTAGAGAAAAGCATCTACAAATTGTTCATAACTTAAGTCTTGCTGAAACCAATCAAATGCCTAGAAATATTTATCTGCTTGGCTGCAGGTGCTTTAGCATCTGTGAAGTGATGCTGTTCACAGACAAGTCTGTGACCAACTCCATTCAGATCATCTTTCGGAGCGAGTTATTGAAAAAGCAGAAAGCATATGCTAAAGCATATGGCTAAAGCTTTAGCATATGGCTAAAACATAAAGAAAAAAACAAAATGAAAAGCAACACACGTCCCCAAATTGCCTAGGAGGTGGTCCAAAAAAAGAAGGGTCTCTCCTTCATTGGTAGGGTG